GTATAAAAATTATAGTATCACTTGATTTTTTTTTAATTTAGTAGATTTTTAAAGTTACTACTACTTGGGTTGGAATAGAGACATCCTTTAATGTGTAATGAAATATACAATAAGTTTTTTTTTTACGAGAAGGGGAAATCTTCGCATTGTTCTTTTATGAAGCGATGGCCTCATTAAGAGAGGATCCAAGTCCTGGTCCTTATTATTTAATATTAAACCCGATAAAGTAAAATATGAACATAAGTTAATGCGTTTGCATTTGATAAAAATTTTTGAAACAATTAAAACATAAAAGAAGGCTTTATGATCTTCCTCAAACAGATAATGAAATCATTATTAACGATTATAATCCTGTACTTCTTATTGCATGGGAAAGAAATATGGATATACAATTTATTGGAGAAAAATCATTGTTACTTGTTATGTTACTAAGTATTTGAGTAAGGCAAGAAAATGTGAATTATGAGATTCTATCCTTGATAGTAAAAATAATAAAAACAAATCATTGGCAAGTTATCTTTGGAATATTGCTTTACGATTCACAAATACTAGAGAATGTGGAGCTCTTGAAGCTGCCGATACCGTATTAGGTATTTCTTTATATGAAACTGATCGAAATACGACTATTAACCCTTATGTGCACAACCAACTTTTACCACGTTGTTGCACAACCAGGGTACCCGAGTATCCACCACGAGTTTATCTTAATTTGTGAGATTGTATACGAACGGAATCGTTTGAAATAAATTTATTCCATTGAATAAACATCAATAGAAAGTATCTAAGCCATATTTGAGTTCCTGAGCCCGCAACAGCTTTCACAAAAAAAAAGATAACAATAGGGTCTCGAGCGCTGCGCAGGTACGAAGAAGGTCGGGCGGCCTTCGGCGACCGACAGATGTTCGAAACTTATGTAGTGGGGATAAAACGGCAATAGTAGGATACAGAGACTCAGAGAGGCACAAACGTGTAGAAGCAATGTAGAAGAATTACCTCAATAAAATATTAATCAATGTTATTAA